CCTACGATTGGTCCAAATTGAAGCCTGCTGATTGGTCCAAATTCGATCCTACTGATTGGTCCAAATTCAGTTCTGCTGTTTGGTTCAAATGCAGGCCTGCTGCAGTCAGGGCAGATATCTACAGTGGGTGCGAGGTGCCCAGGACTGTCACAACTGTACTGGCGACAGTTGGGGGGGGGGGACATGGTGAGAAGCAACTGCTTAATTGACAGCTACCGAGTCTCCTCAGAAGTGGCAGGACTATAACCAGGACTGCCCCTGTTTTCCAGGAATACTCAGGAGGCCTGACGGTGTTAACCACGGCTTATGGAGGTCTAGGGATAAGACTTTCTGGGATAGTGACCAAGGGGCCAGAGCCCTCCCTGATCCCTGCGCGTCAGGGGCGGTTTCTTCAGAGAGGGGGCAGCAGCGCCTGGACAGTGGGCATGGGAGAGGGTCACTGGCTGCCAGCAGAGCCACAATTCCTGTCAGTGTGGCCTGGACAGTGGTCTCTCGGTAGCTTTGGGTAGCAGGAAGACAGTGTTGCCCCTTCCATCCTCAGGGGATCCAGGAGAGTGAAGGAAAGAAGTGGGGGCTGTCCGATGAGCCCGCCCCTTCCTGCCGTCACAGTTAAAAACAAGACTCAGGCTATTTCTCCTGTCTCAGGGTGGGAGGAGGAGAGAGCTGCCAACTAACACTCTTGGAGCAAAGCAAAAGCTTGGCAGGTCAGAGAAGGGTGGGCTGCTGGTTTGCTGATTGCTTTCTCCTCTGGGGGACTGGAGGGTTTCTGTGCTCAGGGTTGGGGATATATATTGTGCTGTAGTCAGAGGGAACTGGGCTAGGGGACAAGTGCTCCCAGGATGAAGAAAACTGAATGATTATTTTCATGCTGTCAGTTTGCAAGAAAAATAGGAGCACAGGGGCCAGGGAGATGGCTTGGTAGAATAAGGCGCTTCCCTGGCAAGTGCAAGGGTCCAAGTTCAATCCCCAGTTCTGAAAGAAAGAAAAAAAAGAAAGAAAGAAAAAAAGAAAAGAAAAAAAAAGAAAAGAAAAAGAAAAATAGAAGCACAAGGGGAAGTTTTAGAAAGTGAGAGGGGGCTGGGATGGTGGCGATGCCTGGAATCCCAGAACTTGGGAAGATGAGGAAGGAGGATTGCTGAGTTTGAGGACAGCCTGAGCTACACAGTGAGACCTTGTCTCAAAAAAAAAAAAAAAAAAAAGGAAAGTGAGGAAAGAACTTTGCCGTAAGGAGGAGCATGGGCTAAATAAATTTTCCAGACTTCATCCTCTGTGTGTGTGTGTGTGTGTGTGTGTGTGTGTGTGTGTGTGTGTGTGATAGGCAAAGGCTCTGCAAAGTCAGTTTAAGTCAACAGCAAGAGGAATTGAGGTTGGACTAAAGCAGTGATGGTGAACCTGTGGCACAGTGCCTCAGAGGCACACAGAGCCCTCTCTGTCCGCAGGCAGGAGACCAGCATTGTGCAGACTGTACATTCAGCTTTGCCTCTATCAGGGCAGTGTGATAGAGAAGTGGGTGCTGGGTTGCAGCATGAGCACTGGTCAATGCAGGCTACCTGAATGTGAGAGGCTGGAGCCACGGTGGGGAGGCTGTCAGCATTGCACCATCCAAATCTGGGTGGGTCACAGGCTTGGGAAGCTCAAGAGGACTGCTAAAGGCCCTGGTCCAGAGATCTGGGGTCCCAAGGCCAACAAGGTGGAGGGGTGGGACTCCAAGGCCTCTCTTCATTGGCTGAGGTGCATCCAGCCCTGCCCCTCCCTCCCCTGCAGTTTGGCTGGGTGGAGGGAATGGCACCAACAGGAGCTCCCCGTGCCTTGGGGCGGGAGGGGGGAAATCTCATGGGAATATGGGGCCAAATTCTGTGTCCCTAGGCTTAGTGACCTCTCTTTGGTTTCACAGCATTTGAAAGTCTGAAAGGCAAAATATGGCTCATGCAGGCAGGCAGAAGAGGTAAGCACACTGTCCCTTTCCCCCACCTCAGTCCTGTCCTCAGGTCAGCCACCCCAGTGCCTTCCCTGCTCACCCTCAACCTCCCCCTTGTGGCAGCTGCTCCCCTGGTTCCCCTCTTTTCTACCCATGTGGTAGCCCATAGGGTCCCAGAAGAAGGGAGTCTTCCACCAGTCTCTCCTGTCCCCATAGGGCAGCCAGTCATGAGGCGGCATGGGCCTGGGGGAAGAGGAGGCTCCAGGGAATGGGTGAGAGTCCAGGGAAGTGCTGTGGATCTGATGTTCCTGTGCAGGTGGTCCTCAGATGGACTGAGGTCACCACCTCCTGGCCTCTCAAGCTCAGCTGTCTTTGGGGTGAAGCAAGGCAAAGTCATTGCACTGGCAACATACTCAGTATACAGGCCATGTTACCTCTCCACTACCCTCCCAAGGAAGGCCTCACTCTCCTTGACTTCAGCCCAGCCTTTTTATTTTCTTCTCTCTAATGGGGCATGAACCTAGGGCTTTCATGATGAGGTACATCCCTAGTCCTTTTTCTCTTTTCTTTCCATCCTTCCTTCCTTTCTTTTTCTCCTTCCTTTATTCTTTCCTTCCTTGTTTCCTCTCACCTTTCTTTTTCTTTCCTGGTACTAGGGATTGAACCTAGTACCTTTGTATTGGGCCACATCCAACCCCCTTTAATTTTTTTTTAAATTTTTTATTTCGAGACAGATTCTCAGTAAGTTGTAAGTTGCCCAGGCTAGGCTTGAGCTTGTGATTGTCCTGCCTCAGCCTCCCCAGAGTGCTGAGATGATAGGTATGCACCTCCATGCCCAGCTCAACTTCCTTTGCTTTCTGTGGACCTGCTCCGAGTCCTTGACTGTGCCTTCTGCCTGCAGCACTCTTCCCGCAGTCATCACATGAGTTGCTCCTGTACATCCTTTGTGTGCTTTCCAATGCCATCTTCTCAGTGAGGCTGACCCTGAGTACACTACTTGAAATCAGCTGCCCCCAGCACTCCCCGTTCCATGCCCTACTTTTTCCCACCTCCCTTTCTAACACACAAAGGCACTTGCTGATCGTATGCCATTGCTGCCAGCTCCACATATGCAGGGATGCCCGTAAGTTTCTGCAGTCTTGTAAGAATGAGTGAATGGTTCTCGTCTGTTCTCATTGCTCTCTTCAACCCATATCCCTGGGCTTTAGCCTCTGAGTCCAAACACCTACTGTGTCCTAGAGTCAACCCAGATTCCTGCTGAAAACCACATCCTTGGGCTTCCCCAGCTGTCCTGGGCACAAGGAGGTGCACATGGGAAGGCTGCTGGATTACCTATTAACTCAGCCTCTAGTTGAAGGGCCGATGGGTGGCAGGTGGACTTGAGTCTCTTCTCTGTCCATCGGCCTGGGCTGCTTCCACCCACAGTTCCAAGATGGTCTCCTGGCCCGGGTCAAGGAGGATACAAGCGACACTGCAGAAAGAGATGGTGCGAGAATTCCTGGCTGAGTTCATGAGCACATATGTCATGATGGTGAGTGGGCATGTGGCATGGGGTGGGTGGGGTGCAGTTCCTGAACCCCTCCCCACTGCTCACTCCATGGATCATATTTTCCCTTCTGACTCTGAGCTAGGAGCCTCAGAAATAAGCAGAGGAATATGAAGAGAGAGACCTCTCTCACTAGTATCTTTGCACTGAGTTACGTTCCTAGCCACCTTTGTATTTTTTATTTTGAGACAAGGTCTTGCTAAGTTATTCAGCCTGGGCTCTTATTTGTAATCCTTCTGCCTCAGCTTCTTAGAGATGTGTGTCATGGCACCCAACATCTCACCAAGTCTTTTTGTAACAAAACCTATTTTTCTGACCCTCTCATCTTCAGCAGAACTTGTGCTCATAGAAAGGTTTCAAAATATGGTAGGGTCGATCAAAGCTGCAGGTGCAAGTGTCAGAAGCCATGGCTGAAAGTGGCGAGAAGAAAAATCAAAAGGAAGGTGACTGATGAAAAACTTGAATGTCAGTCTTGAGCATTAACCCTGAAGGCAGTGGGGAGACCCTGAAGGTTATCAGGTAGGGAGTGGTATGGTCAGATCTGCATTTTAGAAATCATGGCAGATGCAGTGTGGAAGCTAAGCAGGACAAGCAAGGCTGGGTGTGGAGCCACTTCTGAGGCTGTTGTAATAATGGAGGATAGAGGGGTGGTGATGGGGTGGGGTGGAAAAGACAACACATGTTGGACTCAAGGAGACCACAAGAGTGAAAAGTGGGGTAGGCAAGTGCAAGGTCCTGAGTTCAATCCTTGGTACCACCAAAAAAAAAAAAAAAAAAAAAA